CATATAATATTATTACATGATAAATATTTTCTTGAAGCAGCTTTGGAAACTGTTTTGAACCCATGTCAGGCTTGATACTGATTCTACAAAACACAATACTATGCTATGACCATTTACAGAAATCCTCTCAACTTTTTTCTTAAGTATTTTCAGTGTTGGCCGCTAAAGCAACACCTTCAATCTATTAAATTAGTGTTGTCCAGTGGGCATTTCTGGTTCAGGTCAAGAGGAACTCACATTTCAATCCCATAAGATCCAGCATTGCTGTGCTTTTTGTCTGGATGCCAGTGTAAAGCTCTTCAAGTCCAGGCTGTGCTCAGAGGGGGAGGTGAGGAGTGAGGGCAGTGGATGCTATGTTTGGTAAAATATCAAGTCAAGGCCAAAAGTGAGAAGTAAATAACTCCGCAGATAAAGAAAAATCTCATTGCCCACAGTGCTCAGAATTTACGGATAAGTAAAAGAAGAAGATAGAGAAAGACATGAAGGGAGATATTTGATTAGTCTATGCATGCGTGTGATGAGGATGATGGAAGGTAGACAAAACCGAGCCGCATCACAAATCCTCTGTCTTCACCTTACGGGGCCAAAGCATCCAAATCATTCAAGAGACAAACCATAACTCTCTTCATATGATCTTATAGGCAGTGTTGTAGGAAACCTTTTTCACACAGTCGCCTCAGTCTCTGAGTTTTGTTCAAGCCTTGAAAAAGATTGTAGAGTTAAACGTTTTTGGAACTTTCTGAGGCTCTCTTAGTAAATGGTTTTAAGTGTTCATATGTCAACAAAATGTCAGTGTCTTTCACCAGCGTAAGTGTTTTAAAATTATTTTTACAATCACTTGATTATACTAAACATGCTTTTCACATTTGTTTCTGTTATTATGATGAGTTCAGAATATCTACAATATATTCATTTGCCAGGATGGTTTATTTGCTTAGATTTGTTATTGCTGCTCCTCTGTCTTTTTTTGTGCCTTCTGTTTTTCTAAATTCTCGTGTCTTATAAACTGTTTTATGCCGGGCACATGATCTGCATGACATGATAATAAAAATCAAATCCTTCAAGGACAGGATATTGAAGTGGGATCATTAACTGGCCTGTTTTAGGACAATATATCTATTGAGGGACTGATTAGTAACAATTATAAAAAGTCTATGATGGCACACACAAAAAGTCATTTTGTTATCTTCAGCTCTCTTCAGCCAAATTCTGTCCTCCAGCGTGAGAAAACTTACATCTATAGAGCCTTGTAGCTGAGAGGTCACACCTACACACGGGGGATTGCAGCCCTAAATAGAAATCTTCCAAGTTCATCCCTCGTGTCTTTAGTCATATTCATCTGCCAAAATATTTCTGTTTAGAGCACGGCCTCTGGAGAGGGAGGCAGCATCCACTCAGTCTGCCTGTTCTCAGACACTGCAACATTATTTGAATATACATGTGTTTGAAAAGCCTCAAAAGTCCAAACTCTCTAAATGAAGCAAATTCTTATCTTTGTGCTTTTCTATCTTTTTATTGCAACAACTCTGTCGTCTTCATTGCTTCACCTCGAGAAGTCTGTTTTAATTTCTAACTGTGTTGTTGTTTGATAAAGGGCCGAGAAAAGTCTCAGGTGAAGTTGCTCTTTGTTTGTGCTTTGGTCCACTGCAGAGTTTTTGTAGTTCCATCAAAGACTAGCTGGTGCAATCTCCAAATCTCAATATTGTCACAGTGTTAAAAACAATTTAATCCCATTGCTTTTCGGCACATTGTTTGAAAACGGAGCACTGGCAGGGTCAGGTTCACTGCTTGTGTTGGCTGTGGACGTGCCATTGAAAACGTCAAACGCTTGTCAGAGGGCCAGAGTTTCTTTTTTTAATTTGAGGAATTCCAGGCTTTCCGTTCCAGCTCTCGTTTCCCCGGAGGAGAACGAAGCTGGTTTACTCTTATTTGGTATTTTATCCTGTCCTCATGTAAACAACCGCACTGGGCACTGTGTGGGGTTTATTTATGTGCATGATGACTGTGTGGACGTGTGCACCACCAGTTAAAAACCTTGACAACCACTCAGATCCACATATATATTGTTCTCTGAATTCCCACAGTAACGGCGTTTGAGATTGATGCTCCCACATCTTTTGTTTCTGTTTTGTTGGGTTGAATATTTTGTCGACACTTTCTGAGTGGTGTCCTGGGAGTTGTGTTTTTACATTTTGTGGTGTTTACTGAAGATTGTGGGGGATGTGGTTGAGGAGTGATCTGTGGGGAATGAGAAGAACTGTGTGTCACTGAACATCTCTTCAATACGAAGTCCCTGCACTCGTCCCTGTATCATCTGCTACACAAGATCAGTGGATTTTCTCATATCATAATATTTCAAAAAAGAGATTCCAAATAGTGGAAGGGAGAGGGTCCACATTTTTAATATGGTGTATAAGGGAAAATAAAGAATGAGGGTTTAATGAAATGTTATCATAATTATACTGAACACCTTTACAACTACTGGCTCTAAGGAGCATCGTGTCGGCTTTAATAAGCTCACCGCGTGCATGCTGCTGTACAATGTAAACTCCTTCTTCATGTAATTCAAACCTTCAGTTTCCACAAACAACTCTGAGGATGTGACCTCAGTGTCCTCAATGAAAGCTGTGACCCTGTCCATGAGGCGGTGGCACTGTGCGATTGGCTGACTCGTGATGGGACCGAATACAAGTTGCCATGGTAACCCATTTAGTTCGGAGCATGGGGACGAAACACCATGAACATGTTTCAGATTTTTTGTTGAAGCATGTGGAGCAGAGAGGGGGAGGGGGGGAGACACTGGCTCTATGTCGAAATACTCAGCGCCAAGATTGGATTACATCAATTATTATTCAATATTGTGTTGTTTTTTCATCTTATTTCCATTTCTGTCCAGATGTGTCGGCCCTTTACTAAGAATACACCCTCTTATAATAATATTACGGTAATTACATTGTAGCCAGGCTTATTTCTCTGTAGAGTTGGACGTAAAGTTCTGTCTTCACCCTCCTCAGGATCACGTGCGCACTCACACATGCACTCTGTCCTCCTCTCCCTCCGTGGCCCAGGTTCAAACAAACATCAGCTAAAAGGTTAACTCACTTTGTTCTCACTGCCTTCACCTTATTCAATTATGGGATGAGCTGTTGGCAGATCTCGCTCGTCACACAGCATTTGGTTTGCTTTATTTCAAAGGTCAGGGGACTGTTTGTAAGCTTGTGTCAGAACTTGGGAAAGGATATTAAAGAGGGATAAATACAGTGTGTGTTTGGGTGCAAAAAAGTCAACAGCCCCTTTCAGCAGCTTTGTTTTTGTCTCTCTCTTTCTTCCTGCCTGTTTTTTAGGGTAGCCAAGGCCATGAAACTGGCGCTTTATGAAACTCCGACAGGCTGGAGGTACTTTGGGAACCTGATGGATTCTGGGCGTTGTTCCCTCTGTGGGGAGGAGAGCTTCGGGACAGGTATGATCTAGCATGCTCGCTCACGGTACGAACAACAAAAGCCCTGCACCCATAAAGACAGATTTGTGAATGTCTAATGACATTACTACAAGATGGAAATATCCAGTAAATACAGAGACAGGGCAGCTGTAGTCTGTTTGCATGTGGTTAGAAGGTCACTAATTCAAACCCCTGCACCAGTTTGGAAAATGTGAGTAGGTGTGTGACTGAGAAATCCCCTCCCCTCAGCAGCAACTGTTGTTGAGGTGCCTGCAAACAAAGCCGTCACTAGAGGACTGCGCTCGCCAGCAGCTGCTTCCTGAACACGCAGCAGGGACTCGATGAAACCTTCAAACAGCAAATGTGTCCAATAAATGTTCCCTTGAAATTAAAGGGGAAAATTGCAACTCCGGTCTTATAAAGCAATAATTGTGTACTGCTTTTAAACATCCACTGAACTAAACTGAGCATGACGTAAAGATGTCAACAGTTTAATCAGATTTTCTAAATCACTTTGGAAGTAAATGTTAAGGTGATGTCAAAAGCATCACGATCTGTACATCATATGGCACCTTTTTCTGTCCTCTATCCAAGGCCCTTACTACAGTAAGAAAGCGTTTCAATTACCCCCTGGTGGCTGGATCAAACTAAAAACTCAGAGTACCTGAAAAATCATTGTGGGTAGTTCTTATCATTCTGTTTTATGTTCGAGTTTTTTCCCCCAGTGATTTTGGATTGAATTAGTTATTTGATGCTATAAAAAATTGGGTGAAATGTCGTGATTGACAGCTGAGAGTAACACTGCCGTTGGTCCAGCGTGTGTATCGGTGGGGCGGTGCTACCACGGCTCCACCTCCTCGATTGTTACTGTGCAGACTCCAAGAGACATTATGGGCACAAGATGGCAGTGTTTGTATCCAGGATATTCTGGCTTCATTTCTGGATAGTGGGAGGAAGTGGATATATAAAGTCATTGGTTGGGAGTTAAAGAGATGATCAGGTTGTCGGTGTATTATTATATGCAGATGATGTCTTTCCTGCTGTTTTACTCTCCATATAAAATCAAACATAAGTCATCTAACTCATTATGAAATCGTAATTTCCCTTTAAAGGGAAAAAAGTTCCCACAACTTCTGTGTTGCTGCACACTCGGCAGCCTGTTCCATTTCTAGAGTTGTGAGCAGTGCATCCCGACTGCCTGTAGCTCCAGTCAGAGTCATGTAATAGATGTGAGGGCTGTGACCCTGACTGCATGTGTAAATAGTCCCCATTCTTCTGCTATAAAAGGAGACAGGGGCTCCATGAATCACAGCAACATGCGAACAGGGCTCCAGTGGTTTCTATGAATGCAAACGCAGCCACATATACACATACACAGAAAATATAAACTGCACATTCACCAATGATTCATACACATTTGCTCTTGCCCTCCCTCTACACCTGTTTATCCTTACCATACTCTCTCCACTGAGGAGGAAAAAAAAGCTTGACATGAGAAGAACATTTTTTTAAATGGGTGTGAATGGGACAAAAGACAAGAGAAGCTTGAAGGAAAGCAAGGAGAGGGGAGCTGGAAGAGTCCAAACATGAGAGGTATCGATGAGGAGGAGAGAAATGGAAGCGGCAGAGAGCACAGAGGACTCTGGGAGCTCACTCGTTGTCAAGCCATGTAAGGCCAAAAGCTCAGAGGGAGCCCAGAGTAGTAAATCATCAGAGCTGCTCACCACTCCTGCTCTTCACTAACTCCTGTACTCTGATTCAACCGCACAGCAGGAATTATTGTAAATATTAATGTAGCTACTTCTGTCAAACTTTGCTATGCAAGGTTTGTAACATTGGATAATGAAATCTTTAGAATTTAAAAGTCATGCACACAGGTAACAGACAAAGTAATCTAAAAATATATATATTTCAAGTATGTCTACTTAAATTTCTATAATTTCAGCCCCAAAATGATGCAGAGAAGCTTGGTCTTTGTTTGGATTATCAAACTGACAATGAATCATAGATATTAGTTTCTAGCTGATTGTGTCAGCATCAGCAACTACAACAATCAGCCTGTGTATGAACCAAAGCAAGAAACCACAGTAAGAATCCCAGTTTAAACTAGAAACCCTGATCTCAGTGCTGTTGTGAAGGTAAAGGAAGTTCTGCTAATTCCAACTGGGTCCTTCGTGGGGGCTGTCTGCTGCACAGTCATTACCGTTTAATTAATATTTACTTCATGATGATAAGACAAAACAAAAAATGTCATGTGCTTTTTTAAGCAGCGTTTTGAGTGCAGCTGAAAAGAGAAGCTTTGACTGTGACATATTTTACAGTGTCGATGGAAGAGGTCTTTTTTAGCGGAGTAATAATTAGATTTGAAGTTCATCCTCTGTTTCTGTGTCAGACAGCCCAACAAAGGGAAACTGACAGTAAGCCAGGGATTAACATATTGACAGTTTCCTAACAGCTGTATAGTCCTGCCGCCAGACACAGACCTCTGACTTCTTTTTTACACGATAGTTATGCATGCCTATGTGAAAAACATTATATCGTTATGTTTTCTGTCTGAAAATATCATGTGATTCAAAATAGCTCAGCCTGTTCTTTCACTTAAGGCTCATGAACATAGTCATTTAATTAAAATGTCAGAGTGTTCCCTCAACAGATACCTTTACTGTGCAGCTGTCTCTGAGAACAGACTGATGGTCCCCAATGAAGGAGACCGATAAAGGGTGTGATCAACCCTCTGTGTGTGTTTGTGTGTGTTTGTGTGTGTGTGTGTGTTTGGGTGTTTGGGTGTGGATTGGAAGACGTTCATTTCCAAGCCCAAGCATTCTTCCTAAACCTTCTGTTACTGTGTTCAATAAAACGGACCAAATTTATAACAATTTGCAACTTCACTTTTGTGTCCTGTTTTTTGACGTATTTCTTAGACAATAAGTTTAATATCACTCTCATATCTGGAGCCAGGAGATGGTTAGAAACAACCGGCCAAGCTTTGTCCAAAAATATCAATATCAACCCATTAGCACAGCTAAATCTCACTATAGCTATCACATAATGTCTTATGTGTTTTATGTGTTTTTATGCTAAGCTAAGATCAAAAGCTAAAGGGCTGCGTACTTCTAATAATTTATCAAACTTGAACTTTTGTATTTGTAGCATGGCACTAAAGTTAAAATGAGCTTTTTTGTGTTTTTCTTCCACGTGTAGGTTCTGACCACATTCGTGAGAAAGACGGTTTGTGGTCGGTGCTGGTGTGGCTCTCCATCATGGCGGCCAGGAAACAGGGAGTGGAGCAGATAGTCAGAGAGCACTGGGCCAAGTTTGGACGCAACTACTTCTGCAGGTAAGCAGCTAAATAACATTTTGTCTCTTCATTGGTCGATATCCTTGCATATTTAAAATGTATGTAAACCTACAAGGCCTGTGATAGGCCTCATGGGTCCTTTTCCCCAGTGGTCTAAATCCCTTGTATTCCTACTAACGCCAAACACATCTTCCAGACTTTCACCTTCATCCATTTCTTGTCACTTGTTCTTATTTTAATCTCTCCCCTGTGAGAGGAGGCCAGTGTTCCCACTGACAGTTGCTGCAGCTTTTTGTTATTCCCACAGAGGGCTTTTCCAAACTGATGCACATTTCCCACAACACATAGATGGACAGACAGGACAAGACAAGCACCAGATGGCAAAAAGTAAAATGCTTGATTCTGGAAAAGAGAAGAAAAAATAACCTTGACAAATGTTGTCTCTTCCAGTTTAGGGACATTTTGACACTAAACTTGCTTCGGAGACTTTTTGTATTGATCTGTAAAGTATACGATTAGAGGATGTCCTTAAAAAAGCAACACCTTCAAACCTTTATACCTAACAAAGTTTGTTCTTGTTAACAGCATGTTTTCCTCACTGGTTTCTAGAGTTAGATATGGTTTCATTGTGTGTGTGTGTGTGTGTGTGTGTGTGTGTGTGTGTTTGTGATTGTCAGGTTTGACTATGAAGGCCTGGATCCTCGTGTAGCCTTTTACTTGATGAGGGATCTGGAAGCAGTAATCTCAGACAAAGCATTCCGCAGCCAGAAGTTTGCTGTAGGAGAGCACATATACAGCGTGGAGAAGGCAGACAACTTCGAGTACATCGACCCCGTGGATGGAACAGTGTCCCGAAACCAGGTCAGTCTGGGAAGAACACGGAGGAGGAATGTAAATGCTGGACGTTACATGACAGAGTTAGACGAGTAGAAATGAGTAGGGGGGACAGGAAGTAATACAGTACTTTAGGGTTGCTCTGATCAAATATCCCAGATTGTTATCTGCAAGAAGACCTTCTCAAGCAGATCAGGTGTCCACATTAAATACATTTTAATAGTCAGTGGTGTTGTTTCTAATTCAGTCATGAATTTTTAACTCCATAAAAACCTTTCACTCCTTGTAATTGGATATTAAAATGATTCCAGTAGTTAAACTCGTGCAGTGACGTGTACAGATTTCAAACTCGGGCAGTTCTAAACTGTGACAGAAGATATCACAGGTTTAAATTGTTCTGTTATTACTGATCCAACGCTCAATGGCTCCTGATATGTGTTCATATCATATCACATGAAAAGTATACACTAAGTCTGCAGTTAGTTAAGTACACGGGCTAAAAGTAATACAACAATCTTATTCTAAAACTGCAGCGGCTGAATCAATCATACATTTTTACTCAGACCCCAGGCCTGTAGTAGTTAGGGTCAAACCATAAAAATAAATAGAGTTGGACTAGAGATCTGGTTCCTATCGTGTCACGTCTGCCTGAAGTCGTCTTATCACACAGTCCCTCCATCTCGCTCTGGTTTATACACATGCACTCGTTCATCCGCCTCTCCTCAACCAGACCACCCACTGAGTGGTCTCATCAGAGAGGTTCCATGTTTGGACATGATAGTCTATCTTTCATGTTACACCATAAACATATTCATGCAAACACACATTACACATACAGCATCGAACCCCCCCCACACACACACACACACACATACACACACACTCACACACACACTGATAACTCCCCCAGTCAGTATACTCCTTCTCCCCTCCCTCCCTCCCTCCCTCGGAGGGAAGTTCACCCAGCTGACTCCCTCTGTTCTGCCCACAAATGTGTGGAAACTCATTCCTGGCGTCAACACTTCTTAGCCTGTGCCCCGCCTCATGCCGCAGACACAGACACATGCTCACATGCTGGACTGGATGTCAGTTGTCCATGTGAGTAAGTGTGAACACATGCACATCTTTGCAACACCTACACGACTTGACACTTTGTGTTTGTCGGCTACTTTGTCAACTTCTCTTTCCATATTTTACACATCGCTGCTGTTCTGCCCTCGTGCTGCAGTCAGCAGAGGTGCAGTCACAGAGCTGGCCGGATGTGTAAAAGCGAGGGGTCAATGTGAATGAGCCAAGGTGGCGGAAATATAACGGCATACGAAAAGCAGATCTCCTGTGAATAGTCCACCGTGTTACCAGCAGCTCCACAGCTCGTTTTGTCAGTCACCCCGAAATGTGGTTTTACCTCACTGGTAAATCCTCAGTCGGCCCAGTGTGTGTTAGCACAGCACACATTCCTCCTAGGACAGAATTATATCAGCTGTCGTCTCACTTGCAGTCTCTCCACCGCCAGAGTGTTTGAAGGGGGGGTGGGGGGGCTGGGGGGCACATGGACTCTAACACATATACACACAAAGACAGAGTATGTGGGATTTACACAGCAGAGGCAAGGCAGCTTTTGTAGTTGGCTACTGAATTATTTCTGTATTGTCTGCATATTGACAGACGGACAGAGAGACAGACCGATAGACAGACGGATAGATAAAAAGCCTTGTCACAGAACCTATAAGACCTACAGACTATTTATTGATGGTTATTTTGTTCTATTCTACAAATGCAACCCTTGTTTCAGCTTTGTCTGTTTTAAATACATTGAAAGATAAGAAACAAAAGTTATGTTGATCATAAGTTCTTCTACTGTTAACGTTCAAATGAAAACCAACTCGAGCAGTGTGCCTTTAGTCTTTTGTTTAAGTTGAACAAATTGTCTTTGTCCTCAGATAAACTACAGCAGTGGTTGTTTGGCAACTGGGTCATCTGTGGGTTAGAATTGCCGCCAGATCATTCTGATAATTAGATTTTTTAAATGGATTTGTATTTTTAGCAGGGTTACACAAAAACTACTCAATTTCATTCCCATTAAACTTTTTGGAGCGGTGGGGCACGACCCACGGAGGAGCACATGAAATATTCGTGCGGATGAGGGGGCAGGTCCAGAATTTCTTTTTGTTTAAGATTGCAAGTGAGGATGATTTTCAACGTCTCTGTTTCATGGACCTTGATTGAATCAGACATGTTTAGTGGACTGATATTTATGATTCTGTGCGATGTGACTTGCAGATGAAAAACTGGATCTAGTGAAGTCAATTATGGTTGATAAGAAAATGGAGTTACTTAGTTTTGCCTCTTGGCATTAAATGGACAGACGGACACACTCTGGCTGGGTCCACTCTGGGTCTCTGAGATTGTTTTCAACAGGCATTAGTCAGCCTCCTGATGCACCTCTATTGTTAGAGATGAGCTGTCAGACAGACAGACAGGCGGACGGATGGACATCTCTCATTATCACTGTGTCTCTCTCCTCATCCAGACTCCGACATGTGTGTCTTCCTTGCCAATGTCAGATTAGGAGGACGTTGAGCGGTCCAGTGTTACTTTCCTTTCAGTGTCATGGTCTATAAACAATGTTGCTGAGTCACAGTTTGAAGACGTTAACAGCTTTTACTCCGAGATGAGGTCACTGTCTTTTTTACTGCTTTAATAATTCTCTCCTGCTCCGAAAAGAAACAAGACATCATGTGTCAATATGGAGACATGTAGTAGATGAATGTTCTCACAGCAGAGTCAGTCGTGTCATCGTGTAAAACGTATCTTGGGTGTGTTTTGTAAACCACTTGTTCATGGTCCCCCACTTTTTTTCTCAAAACACATCGCTGTCTTTCCCCCTGAGCTCGTCTTTGGCTCTAATGGGATGAGGAAAGAGGCGCTGTGGAATTCAGCACAGATAAGAGTCATTGCACATTCATTAGTCAGAAACCCTTATCTCCCTTACGTCAGCCGGCGAGAGCTGTAGCTGGTTACCCCGACGCAACAATATCCTGTTTTTCCTGAAGATGTCGAGTTCAAGTTCAAACACTGAACACGTTATTGAGGCAAAATGATGACGTTTTATTGGTTTGGTGGGAAATTGTCGCAAACTTAATGGAGGTGAAGTAACACTCGGGCCCTGGCAGAGCTGTGACCTTACATAACTTAGTAGAAAACACTGCTGTGGATACAAGGACTCTGGAGTTTACACTGTCAAGGAATCCAATCTCAACACTGCCCTAGAAATACACACAATGTCAGTGACATCTAGTGGATATGTTTGGTTACTGCATTAAATAACACGTCCTGACTGAAAATTGCTCCATTAAGGAAATCCTGTCTTATTTTGTCAGTGTCACCAATTTCACTAGTTGCCTGTTTGATACGGCTGGATAAATATTTAATACTATAGTCAATACCAACTGTCTGATATTTAAAAATAATGAAGCTCATATAATGTAATAATGTGTGTAGTATTTAGACTGAAGTTTTAAATTCAGTCTAATATGCATTGATAATGAGATTATTCAGTTCACAATATAACAAGTCCATGTACTGAATTTCAGAATTTCTTCATTGTGTTAGAAATGTGTCATTTGTTTATTTTTATTAAGCTTCATGGGGAAGTTGAGGGTAAATTCGTGGCCTTTTTGGTTTGTTGTTTTTTAGGACATTGCTCATTTCTGAAGAAATAGACAAAAATGAACATAAGTAAAAGTTCTGTTTTATATATTTAAACTATAACTTGGATTGGGAAGACTGGGTAAGACAAATACATGGACCAGGGGCCATAGCACATGTTACTATAAACAGAATGAATAGGAATTGGCTATTTGTATAAGATGTAAATGAAAGTACTAAGCTTTTTTTGTTTTAACTCTGGTAACTCATGATCTGCACATGTCATTCATTTATAATATAATAATTGATTCTGTGTTTCCAGGGTTTAAGGATCGTCTTCACTGATGCGTCACGCCTGGTGTTCCGGATGAGCGGCAGCGGCGGAGGAACGGGCTCCACAGTTCGCATTTATGCTGAGAGCTTCGAGAGAGACCCTGAGAGACACAGCAGAGAGACACAGGTACGGAGAGGGTGGGACAGTGTGTCTGTCTGCTTATTAGTTAATATACTGTAAAAGTCTCAGAAGCCACCTGGGTCCAAGTGATTTGATCTCCATGTGACACTGTGTGTGACAGCTTGATTGACCTGTAGACTTTGGAGTGAGTAGGAACGCTACCTTCTCATGTCGTTCTGGTTGTTGGGATAGGTTCTGTACTTTAACCATAGCCAGGGGCTGTAAAGCTGCAGTCACGACGGCTGTACAGCCTCATTTAGGTTTGGCCACCATACCGCACAACTTCATCAGACAATAGAATAAGTGCTTTTACCAAAAGAGATCACACGTATTTCACCAATAGACAAAAACGACATACAACGGACCGCAAGTAACAACGTCGTGTCTTAAATTAAAAACATTACTATCAAAGTTGCAGAATTGATAATGCATATTAGATATATTTTAAACTTAATTTTGGGCAAAGGTATAAATATTATAACCATAACAACCGTGTTCTTTTTGTGTAGCTAATGAAAAGTAGGCTTTATTAAGTATTGACTGTAACTCCGTAGCATTCCTCTGGCTAACCTATTGATAATTAATATAATAATAAGAATTGTTTCCCCTGCTTTATTTCCACTGGTTGATGCTTGTCCCCATGTGTGGCCTTCACTGAACCCTTGAACAATTTATCATTAATATTAGCTCATAAATAATAAAATCATAATAAATTCATATCATCTGCCCCTTATCCGACGCACATAAATCATCGGGGGACATACATGATTAGCCAACATGCTTATTAGGCGAGATTAAAAAGCACTGCAGATAATGTTTGATATATATAGCACCGGAGTGAGAGGAGCCGCAGAGCCACAGGCGGCATAAATGACACCTTTGAGTTTCACTGATTCCTTTATTACACCATGAGTCTTCCCGTTCTACAAAGTTTATGAATGAGTGATCTGTAACAAGTAACAAGAACTGGTCTGCACACGAGGCCATACAGCCTCTGTGAAGTTATCTTTACATGCCTTATTACGCAGTTTTTATAGGATCAGGTTGACACAAGTCAAACTAGGGTTAAGGCTCTGGAAGCTGATTATCCATCTGTTTATCTTCGTCAGGCTTTCAGGCCCCAAACTCACATGATATTTACAAAACACTGTTTGTGCTGCTCTGCACAGCTTTCAAGTTTTCATCAGCATTTGTAATTTAATGTGAGAAGCTGGATGCAAGGATCAGATGGTCAAATGTTTTTTGGTTGTGCTATGGCTGCTTAAATTATAGTGTTGGAAGTTCACATACTGTAAGATCATTGTTTTAATAATCTAAATCAAATCAAATATAGAACCGTTGAACTTGTGAAAAATGTCCAGAAAATTGGTCCCGTTTCTCTTGGCAGCAGAATATTCTACAGGTCATATGTGTTCACAACAACAGGAAAATATCTAGAACATGCAGACGAGGGTTTGGCACAAGAGGTAGGACACGACAACTTAATTTCATTGCGGAAATCAAGTTTTTGGTTACAGCGCATCAACACCAGTGCTCAGAAATGTCATCCTTCCAAGTTGACATCTTTGTCTGCATCTTCCACCTTCATGGCTCCTCTTTTTCATCCTGACATATTCATATATTCTTCTGTTTTCATGTCGGTTGCCTGTTTGAAACGTCATCAACATCCCCCACTCACTTCCTGTTTGCTTTCTTACATACAGCCCCTCACACATAGGAAAATATCCGGACTTCAGCGTATGTCTGAAAGCAGCTATTGTTATCCAACTTATCCATCTAAGGAACTTCATTAGTCAAAGGTGCAAACAATGCAAATAAAAGTCAGGACCAGTTCCTAAATACACAAAATAAAACAACAGACAGAACAATGTAAGTTGTACACTGTCATTTCTGAGTGCTGAGGTCTTTAAGATTTCCCTGCATAGCTAGGATTGTATTTTAGGGGCTGCACATCAGATTTCGTTGGACTAATTTGTGCAATGACTTTACAGCTTTCTGATTGTGATTCTGATGAAAGTCCACATGAACCTTCAGATTCCAAACTTTCCTCCCTGCCTGATTCAAAACATCATTGTCGGATGGTTGAACTGTTTATCTGTCACTGCAGGTGGTGCTGGGTCCTCTCATTGCCATCGCCCTGAAGATCTCCAGCATCCACGAGCGGACAGGACGCCGCGGCCCTAACATCATCACATGAGCTAGCAGATAACACACACACACACACATGCACACACATGCACATTCATCTACCAGCTCACACAGACACAGATCCCCTCAAAGCTTTTCTGCAGCTTCAGTTTTCATTTTTCATTTTTCCTTAAATGACGACCTAACAGAGGCTGCAGGAGTTTATCTCTGAAAAAGAAAATGAATGCTGCACGCTATTATCTCACCTGTGTATTGACCACTAGTGTAAACTATAGCCTGGTGTCTGAACCAGGGAGGCTATTTAATTATGTCTAGGGATTAATAATGAAAAATGTGTTAACTGCAAACAAGTTATGCGCAGACTGTCGATTAATGTTTGTGCCTTGCTTTTATCAAAGAGAAATTGTCCGTTTTGTAACTCACGCTGGTTTTGTATAACGGTGCAGTGTTCACTTTTCATGTTGCTTTCCTTTCCCTCTCATATGCATTATGTCACAGTGTTGTTTTTTTACAGCCATTTCATGCAGAAGTAATCATTTTGTCAAAGCGTAAAAATAAAAGCGACATTGCATCACAGCTAATATAACATAGTGACGGGAATTACAGTGTTTGAAGTTGAAGCATATCTCGCTGCATGAAGACGTGGGGAGTTTTCACACTCATGTTTACTGCCTGAGGAGGAAATGTAAAATAATGGCGCCTCAGCAAGAAAAGGAATGAAGGAGAGGAAGAAAAATATATTCTAAAATGATTTTACTCTTTTTCTTTAATTTGTCAGTTTTGGCCTTTGGGAATGCCACATAACCATATTTGAATATATTATTTCTTTTCCATTTTTAAAAATCCAAATAAACTTTTTTTGTGTGCAGCGGTTGCCTTTTATTTCTAATTGAATCGGACAGGTCTAATGGGGGCAAACAAAAACACATCAGAGTGAGATATGTCGCCCTCGGGCACATTTTAGATTTTAATTAAACAAATTCCTCATAATTAAGAGCCCTATGTTGCACGGATACTTTACGCGGTGATTGAACATCCTTGAGGAGAAGTGCTGGCTTTTGTTTGGCGAGTACAGCACCTGTTTTGGGCCGACTTTGGAAACCCGTGGAAGCTGTTGTGCGGCGATAAAGAGCAAGGAGGCTTTATCTTTATACGGCCTGAATGAGACGCAGAGAGCAGGATCTCATAAACAAGCTGATTGCCGTCATTATGAGTTGAGGATATGCCAGTGGATATCCGCAAGGATGTGTTCACTCAGTCAGACATTACCTGTCAGCCATTACAGGTTATTGCCTCATCCGCCTGCTTTATAATCAGTGGTTCTTTCTGCAGCTGGACGAGGATCAACGCCAATTTATTACCTTTTCAATTTGTTGTTCCGAAGACCGTTGCAGTTTCAGCTGAAATTATCCACGAGTCAGAGATTTGTGTGAAATTAGATGAAAATGTTCCTTTTAAACTACTTTGTCAATTTAAACAGTGTCAGAAATCAACAATGAACAAGCTTCAGAGTTGCACACCAGAGCACATTAATGCTCCACCAGTGTTTTTATTGTGGTGAACTTTTCAACTGAGCTGTCAGGTGTACTTAAGAGTACAACAGGTGTACTGTCAGGTGTTCTCCAGAGTGAGTACTCGTAATCTATTAAAACGGCCTGTTAGCAATTGATGTCATACGGTGCTATTATTGGCCTCAGTATCACCATAGCAGACAAATATACTCAATACAAAAATATTGATACAAATATTGATATATTTTCTGTGAGTGAGACCAATGACACTGTTACTATACCATGGTTTAAATTTTTATACTTTCCATATGCAAGTTTCTACATTAATATTGCTGGTTGTCCTATAACCAGATATTTGTCATATGTATGCTTGTAATGTGCAATAATTGAAAATGCCAATGAAATGTTAATCATAAAAAAATATATAAATATAATTTGCCATAAAAATAAAACTCTAACTTATAATATCCTTGTACTGATAATATTCCTGGTTCTAGTGGGAGGCATATGTGTATATACTCAACTTAAAAACATACAATTATGATTGTTGGTTTGATCTAATTATAAATGTAATATATATAATAATTAAGGCTGATTTATGAAGCATTATTATATAGTCTTAAAGACTGTAAAAAACATTATGTACCCAAGGTTGGCTAAATATTGAGAATGAAACATTTGGAGGACAGACCATATAATGACACATTTTGTCTTTTTTATTTTATAACACAGTGCAGGTAAAAAATAAATACAAGTATATTAGTCACTTCACGCGTCCATCCATTCACCAGGTTCAAACTGTTCTCAGTTGTTCGTCAACAGTCTCATAACTCAGATGTAAAGCTCAACCTTTTTTAAAGGAACCACTGATATAACATCAACACTGATCCACAGTTTAACTGACCAGCCTGTTCTTCTATAAATAGCTCTGGGCTGAAACAAGTCTGAGCAGTTTGTTTGAGTTCAGAGGTTAAGAGCTGGATGTGGATCCATGGCACAAAGGTGATGTCAACATGTCTCTGAGGTCCATCGTTTTGCAGCCAGGCCATCCATTGACGCGTCTTTTGCATTTTTTTTTTTTTGCATTACATCTCATCTCTCAGTCAGTGAGGGGAAAACGTTTCGTCCCTGCTGCTCCACCTGACTGTACCGAGGAGGCTGCTCCCAGCTCCACGTGCAGTCGGGGGCCTCTGAGCTGTCCTCGCTGTACAGAGGAGGAGCGAGACTCATCTCAACATCCACAACCACAGACTCGGGGAGCGTATCAGAAGAGACCTGGCCAGTCTGGGACTCCTCGTACGACGGAGGAAAGGAGCTTGGTCTGCAGAGGAAAAGACAGGGTGTTTGTTTTGTGTCACTTTGTTTGTTTTACAGGGACAATGCACATTATTCAACAAGATTTTATCAACAGAAAGAGATGCAGAACTAGTCTGTAACGATATGCATTATCTGTTGTTACAGGCCAGATGTTGAAATTTCACCATAAAAATAGAATAAGGGTTAAAATGAGATGAGAGATATAGAAAGCAAATTTAGTTTGTTCTGTTTTGATGTTGAAACAAAACGTAACTTCTTTTATATTTCAAACAATTCTTAAATGAATGAGATTAAAATGCTTAAAAATTCCATATTTAAAAAAAAAAACAAACAGATTATTTATTAGTGTTTTTCATCAAAGTCAAATTACAGCGTTGTCATTCTTATTACAATTACCTGTCAATGGTGTAGATTTGGAGGTGCTGCTCAGGTCCTCCTCTCTGGTACATCTTGCTCTTCATGCTGTGACAGATGGACCAGAAAACCCCGATGAGGATCACCATGAGGCCGAAGGCGACCATGATATAGGCTGGGACTATCCTCCAGGTGCACTCCAACCTGTTCGGCAGGGACAGCAGGTACGCCCCGATGCACGTCAACGCAAATCCCACACCGGGCAGGACGATACGGGCCAGAGACCACATCTGCTTCGTCACATTCATGATCATTTCACTCACTTGTCGCCTTTCCCTCCTTTTTTGTGTCTTGTGATGGAGAGAACCTTGAAAAGTCCTGATGACACTACTGTAAATTACTTTCAGTTTTCAGTTTCAGTCTCTTATACTAGAAACAAGTGCCCTCTCCAAATTTGAACACCAACACATGTTGCTGCAGGAGAACGTGTGTGTGAGTGTGTATGAGTTTCTCTGCCACCTCCTTGGGGAGGTGGCTGGAATGTACCTCCCTCCTCGGTTGTATATTAACACAGTATTAATCTGGGGTCAGAGGGATGAGCGAGATAGAGCCGCTACAGGCAGAAACATTGACAAAATTCTTTTGGCTGAGAGCTGATAAAAAAACAAGAGGAGACTTAGTGGTGGACAGATGTGAGCTCCATATCTCAACATAGATGTTACACTAACTGTTAAAAGTGGAAAACTCATAAGGGACTTATTGTGCAGTTGGTGAAAGCTGAAGGTTGGAAGATCCCAGCTCAGTAAACATGATACAAACCAGATATTTTTTAGTTCTTGGATATCTTTGTCCCTGTCTGAAATCGGAGAAATACAAATCCGTCTTTTATTAAACATCTCAGAGACTATGATTAGGAGATCCCGTCAATACAAGTGCTCAACCAATCACGAGTCAGTCTCAGCTGTCAATCATGATGTTTCAACTCATTTATTGTAGCATCAGATAAATAATAAAAAACTAATTCATAAGAAAAGTGAACACTTAAAATTAAATGAAGGACCTGAAAATACAGACGCTATATTTGAGAAAAAAATTGTGTATTTGGGTTTTTTTTATTTTGCTCCATGTCCAATCCACTGTGTTCACTCACCTGATCTACTGTACATCATGTGTTCTGAAAGAGACATTTATTTTCAATAATAACAATCAAAGGTGAAAGCTGAAAAGGTTTTAGGTTTTAATTTTCCAAAAAGTTGAACAACAATGAGCTCAAAGATCAGTTCAGCAGACAGATGAGGTGTAAAGATGAATTTCAAAAGATTTTAAGATTAAGATCAATAACATCCATGTCAGTAAATACAGATTTTAATTTGACAGATGCTACATGAGTTAACATGATGCTTCAATGAAAAGTGATGTGGTCTGTTTTTTCATGGATCTCTTTTAATTTATCTGTATGAGCCTGTGACAATAGATTACACAAGATAATAATCAAGCACATTTGAATTTGAAAATATTTTTATTGCTTTCCTGGTTATTTTGAATTCATCATGATGATAAATGTAATTTGGTTTCAATTCATTTGGCTGCATTATGAGAGGATTTAATTTTCAATTTCAATTTTCCCTCTGAAATCTGAGATGAAGTAAATCCTATCCAGTGAAAAACATCCTTGACTTCTTCACATGTACTTTGGCCTTGATGCTGATAACAAGCTGTAATTTTCAGACGATTCAGTGTAAATGTGACTTCCTGGTTACATAAAGCTGAACAACAAATATGGGGTGGGTGGGTCACATCTGGAACGAGGTCAGGTGCTCAAAACAACAATGTTTTATATTTCCCACTGACATCATAGGTTTTATTTACGATTCTCTGCATGTGAAGGCTTCAGATACTTTTATTAGCCCGGGCACCAGATGTGTGTTGTCACTGTAACAAGATAACAAGTCTTGTAGGAAAATGTGATCTGCAATATTTTCTGAAGTCCTCTCCAAAGGTTCCAATATTCAAGTTTTGCAAAGATGGCAAATGTACATTTTAGATTTAAATATCATTTTAAATAAATATTTGCATATGCCCCCATCACAATAAGGCTAATTAATTTTAATTAATTATATCTTTTTATGGGAAAGTCTTTTAATTTTTAACTGGTTTTAATGGCCGTTCTTTTCTTTTATGTTATCTTTCTTGTTTTGTCCTGCATTGTTTTATTCCAGTGTGTTTTGTAAAGCACTTTGTTATCATTATTAATGATATTATATGTAGTATTAGTCATAGGATTATTCATAGTGGTAGTATTATAAAAAATGCTGCAGCATGGTGCCCATGACTACTCCTTCTTATTTGTGCAGTTTGACCTGTGGCCTCTCATATGTACCTTGCTCCTTTTTTACTGGTCAGCATCATGCTATAAGATTCATCCTATGATGACTTATATCATGACGCTGCATCATGAATGGTGCACTCAACCATTCTTTGATAAAGATATGAATGAATTCTATCTGCTCCCTTTCCAACCCTTGTTATCAAAGCAGCGCAGTCATCAGAGCTCCACTCGCTGCTCTGAGATGGAACAGTTTTATGAATCTTTATCGCTCTTATCAATGCTCAGTTAATCCCCTGAGTGTGTTGTGTTTTGTTGTTGACAGGTTAACACAGCCCTGCGTTTGATGGCCACATCAGATTGTGACCTATTAGGCTTTCACTATCACCACGTAATGAGTGTTAATAGTGGCACTTTGCTGAGCAGATTGTAAATCTTCTGAGCTGATCTACACGTTCAGCCATCTGATGTTGGACAAGTTGTGCAGGTTCAGTTTCGATAACGATGACGTTAGCAACACGTCCCAGTGTGAGAAGATAGTGTATTTTGTCACAACTCTCTCTTCTCGTATCACAGATAGCCTGCACTGATAGGAACGACTGAGCTGACCCATAAAAGAAAATAAAGGGAAAAAACAGGTGGATGACTCTGCAAAATGCTGCATGCTACACAGCAGATAATCTGAAACAAGTGATCTCCTGTGCTGCGGTGCAATGCTCTTCTGGGAGTATATTATTGCTCTGGGGGATTTCAGTGTCTGTGTCCTTACAACAGATCCACTGTTGGTGAGAAATCCTATTTCAAAGTGTTTTTCTGCTCTCGTCCTCTAGAGGCTTGTTTTATTTGTATAAATTCACTGTATGCAAGTGCGTGTGTGTTTATGTGCCCACGGCCACGGAAGCAGTTGGTGGTCTGATGCGCCCCTGTCTGCTACACACACACACACGAAGAAAATATACCATATGTTATCTCATATATACATATCACTAATAGTATCAAGCACAAATACAAATTGGTGATAAAATAAATGAATCAAAACAATGTACGCTCCACTTCATTAGAGGTATGAACACTACTCTTCTTCAAGATCTTCTTTCTCCTGGTGTGTACATGATGGAGAGAACGCTGTCTGACACGTTGATGTTAAAGGTTCAGCTGGAATGAGATCTGGAACGTTGAAGGCCGTAGTTTACTGTACAATCCCTTCAGTCGAGTACAGACTCAGTGAGGAGCTTTGTTAAATATCGTTCCAAACCCTCTCATTTTCTTTTTCTACTTTGTAATAAAAGAATCCATCCATCCTGCGTACATCCATTCCCTATGCCGTTTATCCTTTGAAGGGTCACGGGGTCAACTGGAGCCAGCGCCAGCCGACACAGGGAGAGGGGTGAGGTTCACTCTGCAGGTCACGATCACATTGCAGGGTTGTAATCTAAGAATGATAATCATTCATTCAAGTATTTTTCATTTGGCCTCAGCCACAGTTTAATGGACTAAATGTAGTACTGTTTGTGATTAATACAGAAGTGGAAAAAAAACACTGGAATCGATGAAGTGACCTCACACATTTCTCACAGGAACTATTTGATTTGTAAAAAATGTGTTTCTCTGAAAATTGTTTTAAATACCAGGAAAGTAAAATCAAGTATTAATTTAGAAAAATGTAACTGAAAGGTAACACGATGAATGACTATGGGTGATGCATTTACATAAAAGTAATATTGTACTGCTGTACTTGCGAGTGGGGCTCATTTCAAATATTCTCTCTCTCTCTGTATATATATATATATATATATATAAGCAATAAAGATGGTAGTTTAATCTATAACAATTAAATTGAATTCTATTTGATAATTTCATTATGATCACGTTATACAAATTCTTCATCTTTAGATACATCCCTCTGAACTGGAAGTGAAACTATAAAGTGAAAAGATTCAAATAAAGTACATTAAATGCAGTACTTGATGAACACAAACTTCATTCTTCCAGCATTGAGGTTTTTCACTTGTAAACAACTAATAATGTACTACATGTTCCAACCTTCAAATTAATCTCCCTCTCGGTGTCACACACACACAGGAACTTCCATACACACACGTCTTCAGTTGGACCTCATTATTGAGTGATAATTATAGACAGAGTGAGACAGAGATCCATTAGTGTGAGGGAGTGACGGAGTGAAGGGCCGGTTATTCATTAATCAGCTGGACTCTGATGAGGAGCTGTCATCACCTCTGTCATTAACACACATCAGGGTCACACTGCACACTCAGCACTGTGGTCACAGAGTCACTTATTGGATTGTTTAGCGATTGAGTGATATATACATATCTGCTTGTGCCAATGCATTAGCAGTAGCAGTACCGACACAGGTCCAGTGGGGACACTATTGCTTTATTTTCTTTCTCCAGTGCCAGCGGCTGTGGAGCAGGAGCCCTGCAGCACTGACTGGTAAAAACTGTTATAATATCTTTATCATTTATAAGTGAAACAATCTTTTCTCTTCGTCTATAACATCTTCTTCAGAAGAGCTTGATCATCGGGGGGGAACTCCCTACATGCTTAAGTCACATGTGTAACTTTAATATGATCCATTTGGAGGCACAGGCTCCATCCTGGTTCTGATAACCATGATGCTCCATCATAAAAAGGTGTTGGAAGTTTCTTTCTTTTTTTTTTGTCACAGATTATAAATCTGCTCTGCTCCGACTGTTGGATAACATCTTTATACTGTAAATAACAGTTCACTTCACTCTCCAGCCCTGGTGTCATATTATCATTTGGAAAATTCCAGATGAAAAAGAAATGTGAACCATTTATGTTAAAAGAAAACTGGCACCTTAAAAGCAGCTGCGGCTCAGGGGGTGGAGTGGGTTGTCCACTATCCTAAAGGATGGGCGGTTTGACCCCTGTCACCCCCATTTCCATGTGTGAATGTGTGCATGACAAAGACTCTACTGTAAATCACTGTATAAATACTGACCACCTCAAATTGAAGGTAAAAGTGGGCAAATAAGAAAGGGAAGGTTTTTGACTTTTCAAACTTTCACTCTAACTCTGTGTCTTTTTGTCTCTTCTTCTAAGTGGCTCTCCTGCCGCCCTCATCACGTGCGTCCCCTGATGTCAGACGTGCTCTCGTCTGTAG